TGCTGTAGGATAAGGACTTCTAGCCGTAAGATCAGCAGTTCAAACCCACCAGCTGCTCCTTGGAAATCCTATACAGTCACTGAGGGCCAAAACCAACTCGATGGCACTTAACAAGCCCCAGTGAAGGAATGAAACATGCTCTTGTGTGCCCATGACTGTTGGCTTTCCACAGGTGTTCCTGTTCTGCTACAGTAAAGGCTTGTCAAAAGTAGGCATCATATGCAGGACACCCTAAAGGATGGGACTTGAGGATGTGTGCAGCAGACACCTTGGAAGGCAGTACAAAGGCATTACCCCCTGGCCTGCCCCACCCCCCTACCCCCAGGCTGGAGGCCTGATGGAAAGGAAGAATGGTACCCTAAAATACAGACACAAATCCTTCCAGGCAAGGCTTTCTTAGATGATGCTATCAGGAACAGTTGCTTCTGGCTGGTGGCATGATGGGAAATCTTGATCTTCTTTGTACATTTATGTACCTTCTCCTTCATAGGGAGTACTTATTGTTAGGAGTTCGTTCCAACTGACTGCAATTGTCCAGCACTGCCTAGTCAGCCCGACACCACCTTCACCATCATTGCTGTGCTCCAGCCCAGGGCCGTGGCCACTGTGGATGTCCAGTGCCGTCCAAACCAGGGGCTCACCTTCCGGCACTATCTCAGCTAATCTGCCCGCGATCATGGCGGTTTCATGGGCTCTTTTTTGGAAGCAGATCACCGGGTCTTTCTTCCTGGTCTGTCTTTGCTCGGAAACTCTGCTGAAACCTGTCCACCATGAGCTCATGCAAGGTATCGCAGCACTTTTATAAAGTGACAGATGCTGTCAAACAGATTCCACATGCCCAGAAACTCACACATCTCTCCAGGGAGCATGGAGTCTTTTATAGCGGTACTGTTTGTTGTTGAGGTAGATACAGCAGGACATCAAGTCAACAATTTCTACAATTCAGTTATTGTTCCTCTCATTAGCATGCCAAGTCACTGTCCCCTTAAGTTTCTTCTCGAGTTGCTGGTGTCAGTTGGAAAAAACAAGGCCTGAGGCAGACATTCTTTACTAGGGCAGTGAAACTACTGTCTGGGAGTTTCTTTGGTTTAATGGTGGAAGATTATCACCGGGCAATAGTTTGAGAGGCTCATCCATCCTCCAGGGCTCCACAAAGCCTGCACTCCATAAGAATTTGAAATTCTAGTCTGTATTTTCTCCCCTTTGCTCAGAATTCTTCTAGACTTTGGTCAGAATGTTCAGCAAAGGTGGCAGTTTCTTCCACAGAGCAGCTGCTGGGGCCAAACCACCGACCTTTCGCTTTGGTTGGATCACTAGGGCTCCCTGCTGCTCCAGGTCAAAGCATATCTTCTTTTAAGATAAAATATAAAGCTTTCAAACAATGCAAGTGTAGGGCAAAAATTACAAAGTTTTATGGCTTTGTGAATTACCAGGATATGACAAGTTAAGAGAGAAAAACTATATATAATTCCACTTATGTGAAACACAAGATCAATCAAGGATACAAAGAAAAAGACTGAAAAAAAAAAAATGATGTACCAAAATACTAACAGTGGTTCGCACCGCCGGTACTAGCGCCAGCACTGCCTCTAGCTGGCAGAGCTCCAGCTGAAGGAGAAGTGGGTGTAAGTGAGGAGGTCTCCATACCAGGGATCCTACAAAGCTGACGGGGGGCACTGCCCGCAAATCAACGGGAGGGAAAGCACTCAGAAAGCAATTGGCTACAAAAGCCGCTCTAAGAGTGCGCCCTCTACTGGAGGAGTGAAGAAACCTCATCGTTACAGGCCTGGGACTGCGGCGCTTCGTGAAATTAGACGTCCTCAGTATTCGACTGAACTTCTGATTTTCAAACTTCCTTCCAGCGTCTGGTGCGAGAAACAGCTGAGAAATTCAAAACAGGTCTGTGCTTCCTGAGTGCATCGCGTGGTGCTCTGCTGGAGGCAAGTGAGGCTTATCTGGTTGGGCGTTTTGAAGACACCAACCTGTGTGCTATCCATGCCAAACGTGGAACAGTGATGCCAAGACATCACATACATGGAGAATGTGCTTAAGAACCCACTCTAATGGGAAACATTTCATTCTTAAAATAAAAGAGGAAATCCTCTTCTTTCTGTTATTGGTAGTTCTGGACGTTAAGATATTTTTCCCCCATGGGGTCAAAAGGTACCTGAGTATATGATTGTGAAGGGAAAAATAGGGGAGGGGTCAGAAATCAGGTGAATTTTCTTTCATTTGTGTGAATTTTTAATATAAATGTGGGGACATAAAGCATGAATGCAAGTCAAAATGTTTCAGCGAACCAGTTTCAGCAGTTCAACTTTATAACAATTATAAATAAACCTGTTAAAAGTTTCTGGACAATAATGCCATTCAGCATTTGGATTTTTTAAAAACACTGAAGCGAGTTTATGTCCAACACTGAGAACCCAGGTCCCTCCTCCTGGCCAGGCCCCCTTCACAGACAAGTCTCAGCATCGGCTGTCTCTAACCTTGGGCACTGCCATGTTGGTCACTGGCCTTGTGCCCCATCCTTTTTTGGCCGTTGTCCTCCTTGGCGGCCTCTATGTTGCCCAGTGAGACCATTATGTATGTCCATGTTCCTTGTAGAGGCCTGGGAGGTGCTGCACTAGGATTGCTGTCCCAGTGACCAGCGTCACACCAGGGACTGACTCTGGAGCCCACACAGCTGCTGTGGGTCCTTGACCACGCACCAGCTGGGCCTGGGTTGTGTCATGTTTCTGGACAGGAAGTCCAACCAGCATGCTGCACACTGCAGGATACGCTGGAGTCGTGGGTGATGGGTCCATGTGCTATTTGAGAAGCTCAATTCTGACTCCAAGCTAAGTCCCAGGGCAAGGACTACCCCTCCCACACTTGTCCCGTGTACTCACCTTGACTTGCCCTGACTTGCACTTGTCCACTGGTTCACCTTGACTTGCACTTGTCCACTGGTTCCTGACACTAGGCGGGTTCTACCTCTACTCCTTGGGTTCACCTTACAGGTGTCCACGATTTCAGGTCATTCTCATCATTGCCCTGGGTCAGCCCTAAGCTCCCCTGCTAAGACACGGACCCTCCGGACACCTTCCTGGCTCCCTCTGAGCACCATGTGACTCTGACTTGAACCGAGCTGCCCCCACTGGACTTGGTGGTCCTTGATGGTTGGACCCCTGGGTGAGCATGAGCCTTTCCATTCCTGTAGCTTAATGAGGGCAGTTGCTTGCAACCTCCCTCCTCTCCAGCCTGTTTACCGCATGCACCCTCCAAGAGGTGAGGGATGCCCCAGCAACCTGCACAGGCAGTACACGCTACACTGGGCCCCCCCACAGGGACACACAGCAGCAGCCATGCCAAGCCCCAAACTTTTCAACCCCAACAGAAAAGGTCAAGTGATGACATACTGAAAATACCTTTCTGTAGCTGTTTATTCTACTTCAAGTAACAAAACCTATGAAGTTCCATATTATAATGTACAGTGATATATTTTGCAATATAAAATACAATTTACAGAAATTTCTATCAAGTAAACCTAAAGAAACACACTTGATTTTTTACATTTGTGTATTTAAATTAGAAAATTTTAGTTTCATATGTTTTTAAAAAAATTCTTCACATCGTATTAGATGTTGGAACTGGACACTTACACTTGAATGTAATCGAACCTACTGACGCTTGGCAGATAACACCAATCATCCCAAATCACTATGTTCTCGCTGTTTTCCTAACTGAAAACTCTGTGCTATAAAGTGAAACTCTGTAGTGATGTACGATGGAGTAAAGACTCCAAGAACAAATGAAGACCTCTAATTTTACATTTGCAAAAGTAAGTTTATGAAAATATAAAAAAATTTATCAAAGTATATTTGTACAAATAAATTAGTACGGTCTTCTGTACTTTACATTTCTAGAACGTGAAGAAACAGGACAGTGTGTTTCCGGCAAAACCATTTCTCTATGGTCTGTAGTTCTCCAACTAATATCAAGAATTTTTCCATTTCAGACTCTAGACAAGTATTGTCCCATTTTCACGACAAACTTTCAAATTTATCATCTGATAAAGATAAGTTTGATGCTTAGTGCACTTTTCCTGGGTAAAGGAAGAACTGCCCAGATGGTAGGATTCTATACAACGTAACAGTCCTGGTTATTTGAAACAAAGAAACGCTCCCTTAAAAAAAAAAAAAAAAAAAAAAAAAAAAGTACACTTCATTGGTTTATCGTCTCACTTTCTTTAGAATGGTAAAACTTTTATAAACATCGATAAATTGTCATTTAAAAACAATTTCTGCTTACACAGATGTTACCTTTAATCACGTTTTCGAAAAACATTTTAAATGTAAAAACTGAGAAAAATTAAGATGTGTTTCTGCATTTCCTGGCTGAAATTTATAATGAAAATTTCTTTGATAAAACAAAAACGCACATTTAAGTTTTATGTTTCTCAATGTTCCAGAAACAAACTAGTAATACTGTTTTTCCACTATCCTGCCACAAATGCCTACAGGTCACCCCGTGGCACCCTCACCCCATGGAAAGTTCCTTAAGATGGGTACAGGGAGCTGCTTTTTAAACAGAGAAACACAGCCAAGATGCCAGTAAGAGTATGGCTTTAAGGTCCATGGAAACTCCCTTAAAATGTATAATAGTCAAGTTACCGGAAAAGATAACTTTAGAATCTGAAAAGCAATATGCTTTTGTAGACTTTCCCATTTCTGTCACTTCAAATGGAAATATAAAAATTTTTTTTTTATTACAAAAGCATCAGAATTCAAAAGGTGTGAAATCATGTAAGAAACCATTATACACAAAATTACAGTAACTTTGAAGTCCACACTATTCTGTTTCTCATCTAAGTTCATAGCAATTTCAAAATCAATTTGTTCAACACATTTTATAAACTTGGCTTTTCAAAAGGGTCTTTGCCAGACAGAGCCTATATAAGGAATAACCACATTCCGAGTCCTTTCAGCAGACACTCTGTGTCTCAGACAGGGGTGCCTCTAGCACTGGGCAGAAGGGACTGGCCCTGCAGTGTCTGGGCCCCGAGGGGGGGCCTCTGGCTTGAGCTCGCGTATGCGCTCCTTGCTCCGGCTCCTGTCTCTCCGGTCTCGACCCTTGTCTCTGGCTTTGTCTCGCTCCCGGTCCCTACTTCGAGACCTGTCCCTGTCTCTCCTTCTGTCCCTGTCACGGTCCCGGTTTCTGGCTCGATCACGGCTGCGGTCCCACTCCCGGCTCCTCTCAGCCTCCCTCTCTTTGTCCCGGCTACTGTTCCTCGAGTCCTTGTCTCTGTGCCTATCCCAATCCCGGTCCCGGCCCCAGCTCTTGCCACGATCCCGCTCCCAGGCCTTCCCATGCTCCCGCTCCCGCCGTCTGTCCTCAAATGCCCGACCCTGCCGACCATCCTGCTGCGGGCCCTCAGACTCATCCAGGGCCTTCTCTTTGGGCCCAACTTCGAAGCGCTCTCTGGGCCTCCCCTCAAAGGCCTGGCCCCTGTACTCATGGCCTTTGCCCTCTCGGAAGTCGGATGGTGGCCATGGTGCATCAGGTTCCGGGCCAGGTGGGGGAGCGCTGGACCCTAATGTGGCAGCAGGCCCGACATCGTCCCAGCGGTCCTTCCTGAGCTGTGGGGGGTGGCTGGGGAGCTCCAGCAGGGGTCTAGGTGCTGGCTTTGACCCCTGAGGGGGCTGGCCCTGGAAGTGGAAACGTGACGGGGCTTGCTCATTTTTTTCCAAGAAAGGTGTGGAGCCCCTGGGCCCCCCGAACTGGAGAGGTGCCGGCGCCCTCTGGTTTGAGAAGCGTGGTGGGGAGTTCACTCTCTGCTCTTCAAACTGCGGCGGGGGTACGACCCTGGGTCCTGCCATGAAGTTTGAGGCCTGGCCCCTGGGTCCTTCAAACTGATTGGGGTGGGGCCCCCTTGGACCCACAAAGTGGCCAGGGGGCGGTCCACGCTGACCCCCAAACTGGGAGGGAGGGGGCCCTCCTCTGGGTCCTTTGAATTGTGACAGCAGTGGTCTTCTCTGGCCCCCAAACTGGAAGGGTGCAGAGCCTCGTGGACCCATGAATGGGGCTTGCTCCTGGCCTTCAAACTGGGCCGGGGAGCCGGCCATGTCCACATACGAGGTGTCCTGAAATTCTCTCTTCTCTCCATGGGGATCTTTGCGTTCCTCAAATGGGGGTGGTGCTACCCCTCTAGGCCCAAGGTAAGAAGGTGAGGGGCCCCTGGTGTCCCCGTAATGTGGCCCCTGTGGCCCTGAGAATAAGGAAGGGATGGACCCCTTCTGGGCCCCGAACCTAGCAGGCAAAGGCCCCCGTGGTCCATCATTATTGACAGCCTCTTCTGAAAATGGGGGTACTGGCCCCCTTGGTCCTGAAAAGCTGGGGCCACGGGGTCCTGACATTCCAAAAGTGCGCAGCACAGGCTCCCGCTGGCCCTGGGACTGCAGTGGAGGGCCCCCTCCTTTCTGCATGGACGATGGAGGAAACGGGGTGGCAACCTCACTGGGCCTGGGCTGGCTCCCCCTCTCTTCCTCTGGCTCAGCTCCTGAGCTGTCATTTCTCTCAGGGAATGGTGGGTTTCTAGGATCCTCACTCTGGGACGAAGCCAAAGATTTTTCCTGAGAGGTAAACACTGTGCTGGAGCACGGCGGCCTGAAGCTCTGCAGGGCGAAGGCGGTGCTGGGGGGTGTTGGCAGAAGGACTTTCCGTGCCGGCTTGGCAGCCGTGTCCCCTGTGCCCGGGGTCCGTGTTTCCTCCACCAGGGGCTTGCTCTCCAGGGGCGTACTGGGCTGGTCATCCTCAAGCACTGCTGGGGCCTTTTCTCCAGGTGATGGGGTGTTCAGTGGCCTTGCTGTCGCCTCGCTCTCCCCGCTCTCTGTGACCAGCCTCCTTGCTTGCCTCGGGTCCCGGCTAAGCCTGCCCTCTGCACTCTGGGCCACCTGGCTAGCGGTGGGGGGCAGGGCCGCTCTGTCTGGAGTCTGCGGTTCTGACTGGAACAGCTCCGCCTTGGTGATCGCTGACTTTGGCGGTGGGGACATGAGCGCGTCTGATACAGAGAAGTGGGCCATGGAGACCCCGACCGCGGCCCTCTGCTGCCGCAGTGCTTCCTCTTGCTCTTCTAGCTGTCTCTTCTGCTCCTCAATCTGCTTGTTCAGTTCTTCCAGCAGCTTCTGCTGCTCCACCAGAGATGGAGCGCAGTCTGCAGGCCTGTCCGCGGGACCGCTCTCAATGCCGGTGCACATTCGGTTGGGCAGGTCATCAATAGTGACTTTGGCTTCCTCTAGAATGGTCTCATCCTCTGGGTCGTACGCCACCTCCTCCCGCTCTTCAGGTGTGGGTTGAGCAGCCATGTCAGTTTGGGGACGTGGGGTATCGAAGGCTCTCTCTGGATCATACTCTTCCTCCGGGTCATAGGGACGATCATCCTCCTCCTCTTCCAGAACTTTCTCCTTTGAAAACTGTCCAAACTGCTGAACGATGGGGTCAAACAGGGGAACGGCCGACACCCCATCGTCTACCTTGCAGGTTTTGGAGTCTGGTAGGGGTGCCGGAGGGGGCTCCACAGATTCTTTGGCCAAGGGGTCAAATGATTTCTTCTTCCCAAACAGAGTTTGCAGGATATGCTCCAGGGGGGAGGCGGTCTTTGATGTAGCTGAAGCAGCGGCAGCAGTTGCAGCCGAAACGGCTGGGGATGAGGCTGACGTGGGGGCAGTACTGGGGGCTCCTGTTTTGATGGAGGACAGAATTTTTAACACGGATGATGAAGATGAAGCTGGAGGGACCAGTGGTTCTGGGGGCGGAGGTGGGGGCGGGGGTGGAGGCGGGGAACCGGGGGGCGTGCTGCTGACTGCAGAGTCTGAGGAGCAGAGCTGGTACTTGGGGGCCTTCTTGTCGGCCTGGGGAGCAGGGGTGGTTCTGGGATGGGATGAAATGTCCCCGTCTTCCTGTGGCTGAAGTCGGCTGCGCTTCTCCTCGATCTTGTCCACCTCTCCAGCAGTGCAAGGGCGCTTTACTTTTTGACATATTACTAACCCAAGGATTATATTCGGACGTGGCGACTCAAGACCTGAAAGACACAATATTTGTGTGAATTGTAGCATCTAGATTCGGTTTGATTCCTTTAAAAGCAAACTTAAGGGCTTTTTGTAGGTCCCGAAACAAAAGTGTGGCAGAACAGAACCGAGTGTAATCCAGAATCCAACACCCATGGGCCTGGGAGGCCACAAGTCCTGAGTACAAGCCGCAGAACCAAGGGCCTAACTCTTGAGGACAATGCCGCCCACTGGTGAGCATTTCCACTGCCGTGTCCTCGGATTGATAACCGCAGTCAGTCCCGCGGTGGTATGCACCAGAATCAAGCCTCGGTGAGCCGACTTCTCTTCTCTGCCTCTTGCTACATGAAGACAATGAAAAGGCCAGTCCTTTTACTCCTAACTTACATGAGTCTAAATATGCTAATAAACGTTCACCTTGGTTACAGTGATCAAAACAGCAGGTACCACTCGGTGCAGTCACTAGTACCTGGTTGTTGACATGCTACAGGAAGGCTGCGGTGACCTGCAGAGTCCATAAGCACCCAGAACCCACCGTGCACACACTGCCGGCTTGTGGCTGGTTAAGACAATTTTTAAAAAAGTCGTCCCCACCCCAACAGGCGATTTCAAGGCAGCGACAAGAAACAGACACGTCCTCCAATGTTCACTGCCGTACTTTTCAGTCAAGTGAAGGCCACCGTGTCCATCCACAGACAGACACGACATGGTCCACACTCACAATGGGATGCACCTGACACCGTGAAACTAGCCCGTCATACACAGACAAGTATTGTCGGATCTCATTTGTAAGCAGTAAGCAAATAGATGCTGTTGTTGGTTGTTAGGTGCCGTCGAGTCGCTTCCGACTCATAGCGACCCTGTATAGAGTTTCTGAGGAGCAGCTTGATGGGTTTGAACTGGCGACCTTGTGGTTCCCAGTCCAGTGCTGATCCTACAGCGCCACACCAGAAGTCCAAGCCAATATACAGAAACCAAAAATGACTTGTGGTTCCCAGGGGTGGGAGGAAGGGGACCGAGGCGTCTTTGCGTAGGGAGCACTGACT